CAGAAAGCAAGGAAGTGTTCAGCTCAAGGTCACGATTTCACTGACAGGCACAGCAAAGCTCTGGCTGTAGCCTCAACAACACATCCAAATACACCAAACTCTTCCCTAAACCCCCATACAACCTGACCAGAGTTTGATGTCTCAAAGCCTGGCAAAACAGAAAACTTCCCTTCCTCAGAAAAGTCCAATTTTTGAATTAAAGAGTTAAAGTTGCAGAAAAAGCAGAACCAATATTAACTAAGCCTGGAAACTGTTGTGAATATGAGAACTGTCAGTTCCCAAGGTATGCAAAAGGCTTTGTTCTCATCCAGACTCCAAATTTCACGTGATAAATGATGGAAGAATATAAGTGTTAAAATGTTCACCTCCAGTGGAGTTCTCCAGTCTTACCTACATAAAACTGCTATAATTTTCCATCAAAATGTTGTCAGAATTGCTACACTCTTACAAAATATTTGATTCATAACATCAACCTTCTTTTTTTTTTTTTTTTTTCTGCTGGGAAACCTGGATCTCCTCCCTGTGGAAGAGAGGCCTTAAAGAATTTTAGGAGCTTAAAATAACCCACCTTGTGTGTGTGCACTGTCCATGAAGTACAGAGAGCTCCTGCAGCACAGGACAATCTTTTCAGGGGGAAGATCCTCGGGACACAACAAGATCTTTGAAGGTCCCTTCCATCCCAAAATGGGAGGTTTTGAGGGACAAAAAAAGAAATGTTGTAAGTTTAGAGAGGAGCTTTATCCCCATGGGTAAGAAGCACACCAGGAAAGGTGCTTCCCGTCCTTGCAAACTGGAAATAACACTGAACAAAGCATCTTGCAACATCCTGAGATACAAATCATGGAATCATCAAGGCTGGAAAATCTCTCTGAGATCATCAAGTCCAACGATCAACCCAACACCCAAGTGCCACATTCACATATTTCTTGAACACTTCCAGAGATGGTGACTCTACCACTTCCTTGGGCAGCCTGTTCCAATGTTTGACAACCCTTTCCTTGAACAATTTTTTTCCTAATATCCAATCTAAACCCCCACTGGCACAACTTGAGGCTGTTTCCCCTCATCTCACAGGTCAGCTCACTGCCTGGCCAGCACCCAGGCCAGCTCTGCTACAAAAAAAACCCACAAAACTCAACAGCTGCTGGTTTTGCCTGTCAGAAAACACCAAGATGCAGGTGAGATGTCCCAAAAATTCAGTGCAGACATAACAAACTCAGCACCCCTACAAGTTCTTGCCACCAGCTCTGAAACTTCATCAAGCCTAGGAATGAGAGGAGAGCTCAGATGTGTCTCTGTGATCAGTTTTCTGCAGGCAGGACCAGTAGGGAGGGGAAGAGACAACAAAGGTGTATTTGTCAAGTTTTACTCCAGCCCTAAGGGCTGCACAAATCACAGAACCATCAGTCTGGGTTGGAAAGGACTTTAAAGATCATCCAATTCCAACCCCCTGGCTGGACAGAGACGCTTTCCACCAGACCAGCTTTCCCAAAACCCCATCCAAGCTGTGATTAACCAAGATTTAAAGCTTGATTGACTTTACAAAGGCCAAGCACAAGGTGGAAGGCAGCAAAGACAACACGAGCCAAACTCAGATGAGACAACCAAAGAGTGAAAGGCTTTGCTGCTCATCCTCAGGCTTCTGCTCTACTTCTTCCCGCCTCCAAAAATTGCCAAAATATATGACCACCACAAGCCTCACATGCAGCTCTGTGGTTTCTTTTTACCCTCATTCTCTGTTAGCACTGCTACTGTGCAGGTGTAGCACCGCAGGCATTGCCCTGCCAAGACAGGCAGGGTATAAAGCTAAAACAAAAAGACAGTCCCAAAATGCTTGTCTGTGTTCCTTAATTTAAGAGGTTTTAATCTTTCACGATGGTCAAACAGCAGTTGTGCCAAAGCAGGGCATGAGGCTGCCTCTATCAAGTGGAAGTAGCAGGGGAAATCAAACACAAATCTGAACTCCAGCTTTTGAGCTGGATCCGAACAGCTCCATCACGGTTTAGGGATGTCTGTCTCCCAAATTGACTCAAAACACAGCACTTTCAGCCTCCAGCTTCACTGAAATCAAGGAAAACTGCTTTCTTTCCCCACTACACCAGCAACTCTCAGGTCCCAGCCCAGGCAAACTGTCCTTGGCCAGTCCGAATCAGCAGCAACACTTGTCCCAAAAGCCTTTTTTTCACTGCAAAGGAGCTGTGTCCATAGCAGGGTTACAAATATTTCAAGCTGCCAGGGCCGAAGGCTCCAGAAGGGAGATTTATAGCAATAAATAATATTAATGACACAGGCGGACGGAGCTTCTTGTCCTGAGAGCTCCAAAGGCACATGAAAAACTGCACCATAAATGTCACCACCGCAGACACCAACGATGACGAGATGCCACCTCTGGGGACAGGAGGCAACGTGGGCTTGTTCAAAATGAGATTTGGGGAGGAAAACGAGGGAATGAGGAGCTGGATGAGCACAGCCATGCTGGATCACAGGGCTGGCACAGGCAGGAGATGGGTCCCAGCTGGTTCAGCCAGGGTGGTGCTCTCCATCATCATCATCACCAAACCCTTGGAGTGGCTCAGTTGGGGGATTCAGGAGATGTCCAAGCCGCAGTTCTCCCCCCAGCACAGCCAAAGGACTCATCCTGATGCTCATGAGTGAACTCAAGGCTGGGAAAAAATGAGCTGGGAAAACATAACCTAACCAGCAGCCAGAGGAGTTGGAAAGAGGGCAAAAGAAGAAATTTTAGGCCTAAACCCCAGAGGAGCAGCTGCAAGTTTAGGTGCAGATATAATAAAACATGCCTGGGGGAAGTAGCTGTATCCTGCTGCAGCCAAGCCCACTCTCAAACGCAAAAATACTTGCAGGGATGATAAAAGGCTGACACCCATCCTGTGCTATCCAGATAACACCCAAACACCTGGAGCTGATGGAGCAGCAGCATCTGGCTACATCAAATTAACCATTTTTCCCCCAGGCTGCTTAATTAAATGATATCAAGCAGTGTGTGAACATAAAATCTACATAAGAGAAACTTCTGCTTTAGCCAAGGCAAAGATTCCCTTTGCTTCTCCCACCCTGCCTGATCCTCTGCCCGCTTCCAGAAGATGGATCAGCAGAGGACCTTCACCAGCAGCTCAGCCGCACATCTGGGCTCGCTTCACTCCAGGCTTTGCCATAGAAGCCTCCTTGCAGCAGAAATTTCTATTTTCCCCAGCCATGCAACCTCCCAAAACTTTGTCAGGGTATCTTGGAGTCCTTCCCATGCAGGCCAAGGCTCACTCATCGATCACAACCTCTGGAGCCAGACCCCAAAGCTGCTGGAGCTTGGGGTGAAGGGTGAAGCCCTGCTGCTGGCAGAACACAGCCCTGCAAGCCCCAAGGGCAGGTGACAAATCCCACCTGGCTCACCTGAGATCACCCTGTCCACCTCGAGAAGGTTGGAAACTCTCCTGGAAAGCCCAGCAGCTGCTTCCCTGCCCACCTGGATTATGGTGGCAGGACAAGAAAACAGACCATGGAAGAAGACTGGGTGCAGGGATGTCAGGACTGATGCAACCAGCTGTTTCCAGAGCCATTCCAAGCGGGAACACACTCCCACTCCTACCTCTGAGCATCCTTCAGCCAGAATATCTCTACCTGAAACCACAGAGTTGGCGCCTCTGTCCAGAGGACCCCAAAAGCTGCTCTGCCCAAGAGCTCAGAGCCCATTTCCCAGCCCTGTGGTGGCTGGGCCTGCTCGGGGCCCAGGCAAACACAACCAACACTGTGTCTTTAAAACCACTTCAGTGCAGATGTTGTTTCCATGGTAACTAGTGGACCAAATACATTAGTGTTTCTAATAATAAACCAAACCTTCATCTTGGAAAATGTGATCCCCCCTCTCCCTTTACCACGCTCACCCTTCTTTTCTTCCTTTCCCCTCCCCTTTTGCCGAATTAAGCCAGCATTTAACAAGAAAGCCATAATTAGTAAATAATTGCAAGGGCCCAGTAACTCCCAGTGCCCAGGCAGATGGAGAAGCTTTAGGTGGAGGAGGGGGTGGCTTTGCTCTGTGAACTGGGAACTGTCCAAAAAGGGATGAACTACTTTAAAAAAAAAAAATAAAGAAGGAAAGAACAACAAATTCAAAAGCACAAGGTGGAAGAGAGGAGCCTGCGAAGTGTCTTTTGACCACCCCAGCGCCGTCTTGAGTGCCCTGGCACCCTCCCCGTGCTCTGACTCAGGGTGCAGCCGCCCAGCGATAATTTCTAGGAATCTGGCACTTTTTTTTCCCGGAGGCTCCGTCCGAGACGCGGCACCGACTTCGTGTCCCCGACAAGCGGCCAAAACTTCACAACTCCTCCCCTCCACGCTCCCCGATTCCAGCGTGGGAACCCCGCCACAAACACACACCCTCCCCAAAACTGCGTGGGGTAGCGGGAAGGACGCCGAGGCGGGGATGGTGACAGGCGGGGAGGGAGGCGGAGCGGGGCGAATTCCGCCCCCCCCCAAAAAAAGCCACGTGCGGAAGATTCCGTGCGTGGGGAGCCCACGGCAGCGAACACGCCTGCGGGGGCCGGCGGCTCCCCACACTTCGCGGGATTCACGTCCCAAGGCACGGCGCAGGGATGGAAGGATGGATGGGGAGGGCGAGGGGAGCAGCGCGGCAGCACCCGCGATGCCCGCGCGTGTTGTGTCCCCAAAGCTGCGGTCAGGGTCGGGGGGAAGGGGAGAGGAAGGACGGCGGGGAAGGAAGGGGGAGGGTTGTGCAAAGCCTCACGCTGTGTCGCCACGGTCCCGGTGACACCGGACTGCAGCAGCAGCAGCGGCGGCGGCGGCAGCGCTCGACCGGGCTGTCCCCGCCGCGCCTCCGCGGTACCCGAGAGCCGCACACCGGGGATGCTCCGCTGCATCCCGGGCGCGTCCCCTTCCCTCCCGCTTCATTCCGCCCTGTCCCCTCGTGTGTCCCCACGCCTCCCCGGCCCCTCCGCTCCTCCCTCCGCGGTGCGGCCGGCGGGACTCACCATGTCGGGGCTGAGCTGGGCTAAGATGGCGAAGGCGGAGAGCCGGTCACACAGGCACTTGGTCCGGGAGGCGTCGAGCGGGACCGTTCGGCAGCCGCGCCAGGACCAGGCGCCGGGCGGAGAGGCGGAGGCGGAGGCTCTGCTGGAGGGAGGAGAGCAGGCAGGGAGGGAGGGACGGGGCGGCGGAGCGGGGAGAGAGGGAGAGCGGCCGTCAGGGCGGGCGGGGAGCGGGCACCGCGCCCCCCGCCCCCCGCGGCCCGGGCTCCCGCTGCCTGCCCGAACCCCCATCCCACCAACCCCCCAGCGGACCTGCGTCTCCATCCTGCTCCTGTTGCCGGTCCGTCCGCGGCTCCCCCGCCCCGCTGTGACCCCTCCATCAACCCCACACGTATGAACGGCCCCCTGCAGCCCCCGGGCTGCCCAATCTCACGATCGCCCTAACCCTATAGCCCTGCCCCACATATCCCATATACACCCCCCTAACCCTAAAGCCCACCTGTCCCACGTGTGCACGCATAACTGCACAGCCTCATCTCACACAGCCACCCCATGGATGCATAACCCTAGAGTCCTGCCCCACATATCCCATATACACCTTCCTGACCCTATATCCCTGCCCCACATATCCCATATACACCTTCCTAATCCTGTAGCCCTGTCCCTCATGTCCCATATAAACCTTACTGATTGTATAGCTCTTTCCTACATATCCCATATACACCTCCCTAATCCTATATCCCTGCCCCACATATCCCATATACACCTCCCTAACCCTATAGCTCTGCCCCACATATCCCATATACACCTCCCCAACACTACAGCCCTGCCCCACATATCCCATATACACCTTCTTAACCCCATATCCCTTTCCCACTTATACCATATATGCTTTCTTGGCCCTGTGCCCAGTCCCACATATGCCATATACATTTCCTTAAGCACTTGTTCCATATACACACCCTTAACCCCACAGCTCTGCCTCATTTTTATCCCATATACCAATGCACAACTTCCCACCAAGATGTGCATGCACAACCCCAAAGCGCTGTGACACCCACCATATTGATCCACATGTGGGACACATGGATAAATAATCCTGCAGCCCTGTCCTTACACACCTTCCCATTCCTACAGCCCTGTCCCACATATCCCATTTATGGATATAACACTGTGGACCTAAAATACACCTCACTGCCCCCACAGCTCCCTCTCTCACCCCATACACACCCAACCCCCTGCTCCACACCCCATATAGATGTGTATAGACCTCCCCCAGCCACGGGAACCCCAATTCACAGCTTCACCCCTCCCTTGTTCCTTCTCCAAAGGCCAGGCCAGGACCCTCCTGAGCCTTTCCCCACATTCCCAGAGTGGAGTGTTCCTCCCTCATGGCCAAAGGGACCTGAAGACATCAAAGGGACAGATCCCTGCTTTCTCCTGGCATCGTTTCAGCCTGGGGAAAAGCAGCAGAATGGGGAAGGGGCCATAGATGGAGACGTCTCCATGGTCTTCATTCCACAGGTGGGGTGGTTTCATCACCATCGGGAAAAATTATTGCAGCCCCATCTCTGTGCGAGCATAAGGGGCCAAACCAGGGAAAAGGGGAATCTGCTGCTCTGCCTCACGTGCTGGGACAGTGGGGACCCAGAAACTGCTGTCATTTTCCACCCATTGCTTCTGTGTCTTGTCCAGTCCTATCTCCTGGGATATGGCCACTCAGGGAGTGCAGATGCAGAGAGCAAGGGCAGAAATTCAGTACATGGGGAGAAGGTCAGCACTCCTGTGCATAACCTGGGCTTCACAGGTGCCTGAGACAGGATGTGGAGGCGGAGCAGAAGGGCCATCTGCCTTCACTGAAGGGACATGGAGAAAGATGTCCCATCTCCCCAGCTGACCGTCCTCAGAGGAGGGGACCTCGGCAGCAACGCCAGCAGCAAGCCCACGGCAGCTCCAGATGGAGCCAAGCTGCTCAGCAGCCGTGGGTGCACCACAGATGGCCTGGACAGCTCTGTGCTGCTGGCTCCAGAGACCTGCCCTGAGTCACAGACAAGTTCTTTGCAGGTCTCGACCCGGTGCAGGCTCTGACGTGCTCCTCACAGGATGATTCTGAGCCTCCCTCCACGTCCCTGTGCCACCGTGGCCTGGGTGACAGAGCACCAGCACGTCCTGCTCTCAGTGTCCACTCAGATCCTGTTCAGCATGTGGCACTGAGCCTCCCTGAATTATTTCTGGTTTGGGTTAGAGCACTGTTCATAGATAAAAAAATAAAATCATAAAAAACCCAAATTAGTTTTACTGTAAAAGTTGTGGGCAACAAACAGAACGGTTTTTTTTGTTTGGTTGGTTGGTTTTTTTGGTTGTTTTTTTTTTGTTTTGTTTTGTTTTGTTTTTTTTTTTTTTTTTGGTTTTTTTTTTTTGGGGTTTTTTTTTTTTTTCTTTTTTTTGTTTTTTTTTTTTCTTCTGGTGCTCATCCACATTTCTAAATGTCTGGACCCTACTAAATGTCTGAATATCCCATCCCTGAGAGTGTCCAAGGCCAGGCTGGAGGGGGTTTGGAGCAGGGGTTTTGGAGCAGGGTTTGGAGCAGGGGATTGGAGGAACCTGGTCTACTTGAAGGTGTCCCTGCCCATGGCAGGGGGTTGGAGCTAAATAATCTTTTAAGGTCCCTTCCAACCCAAACCATTCTCTGATCCTGTGGTTCTCCATCCATCTCATGGGCCATAAATTTGTCTTCTCTGGATCAGCAGCTCTTCACATGATTTTCTCTGAGCTGTCACATCATCTCTTGGAGGCTTTCAGACCCTGGCATTGTTCTTCATTCTCTTTCATGCACCTTCTGACATCCCCCAACACCCTTTTTGGAAGGGACCAAGAGATCCAAGGCCAGTCTCATGGGAAGTCTGAATTCTGTATTCTCCCCTCTACGTGCTGCTCGTATTTCCAAGATCTGCATTATTGAGTTGTTCTGTTTATCCACTGTCACCGAGAAAAATGCCTTATTTATGATGTGTACAAATAATGACAAATTCCCAGACTACAACAACCAGTTCTGCATTCTCCTAGAAAGTATTAATTTAGCTTGACAAAATCTATTTTCCATAAGTTGATTGCTATTAATGCCTCTGTTTTAATGAGCGTGCTATTATTCAATTATAATCATAATATTACCCACAATCCCTAAATTTTTGGATCCCATTTCAGATAGATATTGTGCCTAAGACAGATGTGAGGCTGCTGTGCTTACACACACATGCTCCTCTCTCCAGATTTGGGGAACTCTTCCACTTTTCATTTCCTAAAGAGCAATGAGCCCAAATTAGTCTTAACCTGCTCTTTTAAAACCCTCGCGTTCCAAATTGCTCTGTCTTGTTTCTCTTGCACACATCTCACTTTGCTGGATGATGTATAGCAGGTTTTCCAGCTGCTGGTGTAATGAAAAGTATTTCATTAGGCTGGGATGTGGATTAAGGACCCAGGCTCTCTTCCAATTACAGAATACAGGCGTTTATTGAAATTCCTGCATTATTATAAATAAATCTGTCATTTCGAGCTAGTAACAAACCAATACCATCAGGATTTCTTATGGGTTTAGTAGACTGAATTTTGCTTTTTATTCATCTTTCCTGGTCTGAAGAATAAAATTCCTCCACTTTTCCTTTTTTTTTTTTTTTTCTCTTGTATTTTTCAAGCTTTTACTTTCCCTCTATAACAGACTGTTGTGTTGTTTTTTGGTGGTTTTTTTTTTGGTTTTTTTTTTTTTTTTTAGATATTGATGCATTTGCCTTGTGGGGTTTTTTTTTGTTTGTTTGTTTGTTAGCTGAGGGTGTCTTTTTCATTTATGGGTTTGAGGATATCTAGAAAACTGCTTTTAAAAGGCTCCTAATTATAGAATTTTGGAATCAGAATGGTTTTGGAAGATCATCTTTTTCCAGCCTCCTGCCATGGGCAGGGACACCTTCCACTAAACCAGACTGCTCAATGTCTTATCCGACCTGGCCTTGGACACTTTCATGGATGAGGCACCCACAATTTCTCTGAAAAACTGGTGTCATCACCTCTCTGCTCTCACAGGGAAGAATTTCTTCCCAATATCCTATCTCACCCTCTTCTCTGGCAGTTTAAAGCCATTCCCTGTGTTCTGTCTCTCCATCCCTTGTCCAAAGTCCCTCTCCAGCTCTCCTGGAGCTCCTTCGGGCTCTGGAAAGGGCTCTGAGATCTCCCTGGAGCCTTCTCTTCCCCAGACTAAACAACCCCAGGTCTTCCAGCCTGTCCTTTCATCCTTAACTCTACCCTCAGTTTTTTTTTCTGTTTAAGCAGCCTTTCCCAACAAATAAAAATGCTTAAATCTCCCATTTTTGGAGCATCAAATTTGTGTACATTGCCACACACAGACACCCCCTGCCCCAAGGAACCTGAGCTCTCTTCAAATGTGGGAATACATTTGCCCTCGCATCACTTCCAATCCCATTTACCAGCTTTCAAAGTAGACTAGGACAGATCTGGGCCGTACATCAACAGAAGTAACCTCATCCAAAAGGAAAAAAAAAAAAAAAAACAAAACAAAAAAACCCGGGAAAATAAATCAGAAAACCAACAAGAACAGCAAACCCCAGGGAAAGTATCAGAAAACAAATAACACTCCCCAGATGCTGCGCCTGGTCTCACACTCCCATGGCAGAAAAGCTGACAGAACAGCACTGAATGCAATATCAGGATAAAATCTATCCAGGGCCAAAAACAAACTTGGCACAGCCTGAAATCCATTTCTAGATGCACACAGAAAGTGCACAGCGATACTGAGGCAAGAAAAAAATTAAAAATTAAAATAACCACCTTTTGCTCTTCAAAGACCTGGTCTGATGCCTGCTGATTTATCCTGTTGGACTCAAAGAAAGCAACTGGATCAAAGCCATCCAGTTCTTGCTTTAAAAGCTGCTATAAATCACATAAAGGATGGGTGATGTGGATGTGCTGAGTCAGGAGCTTGGTGTAAATCACCTCAGAATAAGTCCAGCTACATCTTTTAATGGGAAACGAAAACCTGGCCTTCATTACTACCAGTGATTATTAATTAATTA